ATAAATGTTTTCTGATTGGTTCATCTGTTGGCGTGTTAAAGCAGTGATGAGTTGAGATGAAGTGGGGTTGAAAGTCCCGTTTAGGATTATTTCCATTCCAGAATGAAATTTGCTGGTACAAAGCTGGACGGATAGTGCCAGTTAATTGACATTCCATGTCGCAGATCCACTTAACATGCTATATTTTGTCGAGAGGCAGGGAGGGTAACGTCAAGGTCTGTCAAATCTCTCTGGCCAAAGAGATATCACAGTGCAATGTTCAGCTGGTCAGTTGCCATAAAATGTATGAAGCACCTTATACCCGTGGACAAGGAAATGTTTTTTTATTATTTTTATGATATCTGAATAATGTTGGGCTCAAGTGACGCCACCCGTAGACGTTTACCTTTTAGATGAAACCCGTCGTCGCTTGTACGTACATTTACAAATTCACATTTACATTTGCAGACTCTGCATCAAAAAAAATACATTCGTGACTTACGAAAATGGAAAGAGATACTGACTTCTAATGAACGTATTCAAGCTGGAACGAGGTATGGTGGAATGGAGGTTACAGTCTCGTTTATGAATGTTTCATTTATAAAAGGCATGTGTCTTTGTTGCTCTTTCTACATGACCGGAAGTGACAGTGCCATCGGTTCCATGACACCGTGGTTTCATCACTTATACCAAACAATCATTGTTATGAAGTTGTATTAAGTCGAGCGTAAAGCAGAGTGACATTAGTTTGTGGGTTTTTTGTCTGTCATGGCCAGAAAGATGACCACACTTATAGAACTCCAAGCATTCACTTTATCGAATTCAACGGAGACGAAAAATACCGATATACCGTGTTTACAATATTCTTAAAAGTATGACAATAATACATGACATATTCTGCCATTGTGGTGAAAAATACTGTGATCAAATTCTGTTATCATATGCAAATAACTACATCATCTATCAAACAATTTAGAACCGCACTCTTTGTTAATAGGGGCAATAAGGTAGCCTAGTGGTTAAAGCGTCCGCTCGTCACGCCGAAGGCCTGGGTTTGATTCACCCATGAGTCATACGATCCGTGAAAGTCCGGGTTAGAATGACTCTTCAGTAACCCATGGTTGTCGTAAGAGGCGACTTACGGGCACGGGTGGTCAGGCTCACTGACTTGGTTGACACGTGTCATCGGCCCCCAATTGCGTAGAAGGATGCTCATGGTGTTGGTCACTCGACTGTCTGGTCCAGATTCGATTATTTACAGACCGCCGCCATATAGCTTGAATATTGCTGAGTGCGGCGTAAAACTATACTCACTCACTTATCATGCTACGATGTGTTTCGGCAAAGATTTGTATGTTGTTGTCAATAAGAAGTTTTCATCCATAAAGTATCCTTCCCTTCTTACTACTCACAAACGTCTATAGTGGTTATTAAACTTATCAGAGTAGGCTTATTTTAGCTTGATCATACCTTGTTCTCAATCGAAAATACACATATTCTGACAGTCGTTTCGTTTGTTGAGTACATGCACAATACACAAAGAACTTAATTAAGCACCCCTTCTATTTTTGCAATGATACGTTTTCAACACGTACAGAAAACGTCTGGTGGTGACCACGATGGAAAAACATGAGTATAATTCTTGACACATAAAAAAAGGATTGGAATCCATGTTGCTTTATTTTATGATGATATTTGCTCAGTTTAAGAAAACCCACTGATTTCCATACAAAACCATGTCTTTACAAGTATGACCTTGGAATGTTTAATGTTGAATTTATTAGTGAATGTGAACATTCAAGATTTCATTGGGCGTGTCTTACAAGATTCAAGGTCCTTCATGTCGAGTGTAACCTCCATGTGACAGTATGGCAGCCATCAATCTCCTCTTCATACCCCTGTCAGCCTCCAGCCTCCAGCCTCCAGCCACAACCAAGCCAGTGTGGCTGATGTAACATTAGTTGTTTTATCACAATTAACAGAAACATGAAGTTATACTTTTATGCAAGCTATCCACCTTAAATGTTCATAAAAAATCACAGACGTTGTACAGTTCTTAAAAAGGCATGTAATTTAACATACACCGCCATTACTGATAAATCTGTAAGTTTGCATTATTGCTTCCATTACTCCCTAAATATTGAGTTACTTTCGTCTATGCTGACATATAAGGAAATATATCCTTCACGGATTAGTATTTCTTTTAGAAAGTCCCAAATACTTACACGTATGTAATGTGTATATACAGTTTAAATGTGTATACAATTGTATGGTTATAATATATAATTATGAAGTTTAAATTATGTAAACAATTATTCAACATATATGCTTGTAATGTTTCTATGTACGTCCATATATACAGATGACTATAAAATTAGATGAAACAAAAAACTTAACTACGAAGATAATGAATAAATAAGCAAAAAACAAACCATGAAAAAATATACAATTATCTTCTATGCCAACAATAAGTAGATAGTATGATGTTATAATTAGGCATACATGTGTTATGTGTGTCAGTGCTACTGGCGTAAACATGTTAATTAGCCTTGTAACTACAACTTTTACACCTGCAACACTAAGCTAAAACGTGTCCAGTTTATATATTAACAAAACGAAGCATGCATGCTCTGTGACACACAGAATATATCAGCTAAACAACAAATGCATTCCAGTTGACGCAATTATTAAAACAAAAAGACATTGATCGATTGATATTGAGAAGTATCGGTCAGTTGAACCAGATTTCGGTGCTTACATTGCACAAAACAATAACAACATCGTGTGTGAGGAAATTTAAGTTGAATTCGACAACGCAAAACTGTAAACAAACGCGTGAAAATAGACAGTCGGTGTGACGTGTGACACGTGGTTTGCGAACGTTTGGGGGTGACCTAACTGCCAATCACAACCAACCCTTAACTCAGTCTTACAAAGTTATAGCGTTGGAAAATACGTTCTACGCAGTGTGCGAAATAGCCACTGGCCCGCTAGCCCGTGGCTAGTAAAAATTCAGTTGGGCCAGTAAATCTCTAGTCACTGGCCCGACTGGCTAGTATATTTTTGGGGGGCCATTTTGTAAACATATCAATCTCTCCGACTTGTTAAGTTATAATAAACTTTTAAAAGCAATCATGCAAGATTATGGTGTGACAAAAATGTTCATCACATCAGCAGCTTAATGATGAAACTCGTGTCATGCCAACAATATCTTATTCTCATCTATTTTTGTAATCTTTTGCTTAGTTTCTACATTCAAATTTCGGGCTAGTGAATTATTTTGTGGGCTAGTAACTGTCAGGCATAGATAGCCGGGCTTGGTAACAATATTTCTAAACTATTTCGCACACAAGTTCGATATTCACTCGAAAAGCACTATTCGCATATACTCTGATTATAGTTCATCTAAAACAATGGTCAAATGTCGATATGTACAACAGTTTAGAGGCTGGACTGTTTGAAAAAAACAATGGTGCAATCATTCATAATTGTACAAGTGGCAATGGCAACAACTACACCAACGGACGGCAACGTCTGCCAAAAGCAACATGTACGATTTCAAACGCAACCGACACAAACGTCGAAGTGAAGTGTGCAACCAACGTCACCAATGCACTATCGCTCATTGTACGAGCGCTTCACTCACGTTCGTGTATCGTCCAATAAACACGATCTTGCGCCGAACTGTCACCAACAGCAGATCCCTCGACAAACTCTAGACGTGTATTGCTTTGAGAATGAGTGCTAGTGCCATCAGCATATTGATGACCTACAATAAGAGGGCACGTTCTAAAATAAGATGCCCATAGCTTTTTGGACATCGCAAGACATATTTTCGAAAATCGGTTGTTTCCAATATTGTGCGTTGTATTCGAGAAAATGAATGAAAGGGTGTTGTTTTAAGCCGCTGTGAATAACATCTCCGGCATGCATGGGAAAACATCATTTTTTAAAAGGGGTTTCACCTCTTGTGCGTTGTATTCGTGAAACTAAATGAAAGGATGTTGTTTTTACGCCGCTGTTAATTATATCGTAGGAATGTATGGGTAATATCACTAGAAAAACTAGTATAAGACACGCAGTCGGGAGAATAATGTATTCATATGGAACAGTATTCACCTGGTATGTTGTTTTAGGCCGCTGTGAATTATACCTTAGGCATGTGTGGGACTGACTGACTGAGTTTGGTTTTACGCCGCTTTTAGCAATATTCCAGCAACATCAAGGCGGGGGACACAAGAAATGGGCTTCACACATTGTACCCATGTGGGGATTCGAACCCGGGTCTTCGGCGTGACGAGCCAACGCTTTAACCACTAGGCTACCCCACCGCCCGCATGTGTGGGAAATGTCAACGTAAGAATCGCGTTTATACCACGCAATCTGGGGGTTGTTGCCTTACAGTTGAACCGTCAGACATCTGGCCATCCTGCATGTCGCTTTGTGCCGCTGCGAATTATATCTTAGGTATGTATGTGAAAACAACAGAGTACAAATGAGTTTGAGACACGCGATGTGGAGGAAAATGTTCAAATTGTGCAAAGCTTGACATCTATGGAACTAGCATGTTGCTTTGTGCCGCTGTGAAGTACATCTTAGACATGTCTGGGAAAACCGCAGAGTACGAATGAGTTTGGGGCACGCGATCTTGAGGAAAATTTCCAATGGTGAACAGCTAGATATCTATTGAATTATCATGTTTTGTGCCGCTGCTCGATTATATTGTCGGCATGTGTCGGAAAATATCATTGTAAAATCGTGTTTTGACCACGCAATCTAGACTGACTGACTGACTGACTGAGTTTGAGTTTGGTTTTACGCCGCTTTTAGCAATATTCCAGCAACATCACGGCGGGGGACACCAGAAATGGGCTTCACGCATTGTGCCCATGTGGGGATTCGAACCCGTGTCTTCGGCGTGACGAGCCAACGCTTTAACCATTAGGCTACCCCACCGTCCCCGCAATCTAGAGGTTGACGCATTACTGGTCGTTGGCAACTGGCCATCATGCATATTGTTTTGCGCTGCTGTGAATCAGATCCTAGGCACTATGGGTCAGACTATCCAATAGTTAAAGTTCAGTTATAAACAAACACCAACTTTGACCTTGATTAGTAAAATACTGAAAAGCGCAACACCGGCTTAAAGAACAATCCCTGTAAGCAAAAATACACATTTCTAAAACCACACAAACTAAGAGCACTACGAAATATAACGAAAGATGTGTGCCATCTTAGTACATGAACCCAAAGTGTATGATCCCTTGATCTTAGTACATGTATGCTACATGTATATTATCTGAAACCAAAAGGTTAGTAAGAATATTGAAAGATGAGACCGACGCCCATGCAAAAGAATATTATCTAACTACCTGTAAAATCCGGGTAAACAGATTTCTACAAAACAGTGCTCAGGATAATCCAACCAGTCTACTTATCTGAACTATGGGGACTTCAAGTTCTAAGTTAATTCACGCCACAAGATATGTTGCTTTTTACGGAGTGAGGTTTGTTTTACGCCGCATTGAGCAATATTCCGGCAATATCACGTCGGGCGAGACCAGAAATGGGCTTCACACATTGTACCCATGTAGGGAATCGAACCCGGGGTTTTGGTGTACGAGTTAACGCTTTAACCACTATGCTACCCAACAGCACCTAAGTGGGTTAAAGACTAATAATAAAGGGGCATGGGCCAATATGAAATGAGCTAGAAGATTACCCGGGTTAATAATCCCACATTGTCTTGCAGGTTTTAAAGAAGCAAACCCCGCCATTGAATTCCCCGTCCACCCCCGCCCCCAACGCCAACTGGTCTCTTAAGCTACCAATGGATAAAACCTTTACATTGAAGTCAAACACATCTTTGAATCTTGCCTGTGATACGACAAACTAGGGCTCCCATTGTCCCAGAAGTATTCATAATGAGCGGTGATAGTGAGTGAGTGAGTTAAGTTTTACCCCGCCTTTAGCAATATTCCAGCAATATCAAGGCAGGGAACACCAGAAATGGGTTTCGCACCGTCTACCCATGTGTGGAATCGAACCCGGGTCCTCGGCGTGACGAGCGAACGCTTTAATCACCAGGCTACCCACCGCCATGTGCGGTGTTTGAAAACAAAAGGTGAGTGAGTGAATTTAGTTTTACGCCGCTTTTAGCAATATTCCAGCAATAGCAAGGTGGGGAACACCAGAAATGGGCTTCACACACTGTACGCATGTCTGGAATCGAACCCGGTCCTCGGCGTGACGAGCGAACGCTTTAACCACTAGGCTACCCACCGCCTTGTGCGGTGTTAGAATACAAAGACTGTCATCGGTGTTGACAACTTTCAGCAGTGTTCCAGTTATATTAAAGCATGCAAGCTTGGTGTGGTAAACCTCTCGAAGTGATAAAGATCTCAGACATTTACCACTTTGAAGGTGCTGACAAACTTTGAGTCATGATCAGGGCGAGCCGTGATTCCGCTCCGTGATCATTGGTGTCTGGCGCATCAAAGGGACGCAACTCTGTTGTTTAAAGCTGCACTCAGCAATATTTCAGCTACATGGAGGCAATCTGTAAACAATCGATTCTGGACCAAACAATCCAGTGATCAGCATCACCAGCATCGATCTACGCATGTGGATACGATGACATGTGTCAACCAATCAGCGAGCCTCTGACCACCGGATCCCGTTAGTCGCCTCTTACGATAACCATAGGTTGCTGAAGACCAATTCTAACAAGGATCTTTACGGGTCGAAATTGCCATGAAACCATTGTCCCCAGTAAAACTAACCAGTAACGATTATAATGTGTGAGCTGTGATTTCTGCTGGTTTATTTAAGCATCAGTGCTATGTAAGGATGATTAATTTGTGACAGCGATTTAGTATATCTTGATTCAACAGTAAAAGTCACTTCTAATTTTCAATACGTGCAGTTGTTAATGATTGAAGAGAAAAGAAATAATTAAAAGAGATAGTGAAAGTCGCTTTAGAGTCTCACAGCTGAATTCTTCACAAAATAATTCTTCTCAAAGCCTTTGTTCTGTTCCAGCTGTGATATTAAAATTATTTGAGAAAAAATAGGAGAACAAACGTTACACTTTATAATTCAGATTTTTTAATTCGGAAGAATAGACTGGGAACAGGGTTTCACTGTCTAAATAAAAAATATATATGAAATAAAATACATATATTCAATGTAAAATATATTTTGAATACTACCTGTGTTGTTTCCTGATTTTGTGTGCATTAACAATCAGGACAAGAAAATTTGAAAAATGAAGCCAAACAATTATTTTCTATGACTGATCGGTTGTAATGAACGAATTATCAATTATGAGATTTTAACCAATTCCCCACACTTACGTACATCTTCAGACAAAATGAAGATCAATATCACAAATTTAATGCAAAACATTTCCGAAGGACGTTTGTATACTCTAATATGAATGAATTTCTAGATATCTGCAAAAAGAGAAAGTCATTATATCATTGTTTTGTTCATTAAACATTCCAGTTTCACACTTCTGCCATATCTCGATCGTGAAGATCTGACAATCCCCTGCCTTATGATAGACTTTCTGATCGACCATCAGCATCGATCTTCGTAATTGGGTACCGATGACATGTGTCAACCTGACCACCCGATCCCGTTAGTCGCCTCTTACGACAAGCATTGGTTGCCGAGACCAATTCTAACCCAGATCTTCACGGGATTCGTACCAGAGTATTCGATCTGGGTGTCGTTGTACAAAAGGATCTTAGTACTAAGACTATCGTAAGTCTATGTTAATGTATAGGAGTTAAGATCACCTTAGCACTAAGATTGCTTTGTACAACTGTACCATGATGAAGATATTATGTTTGAAAACCATTTCGTCGTGACACTAAACTGAAAAATGTCCATAAAAATACGTCAAGCAAAGCAGAACCCGTACCTGCGACCTCTGCGTTCGACAACTTTATCCGGTCAATCGAATCTGTATCCGAGTCGTAGTCCTCAGCAACCGGAAGTTTGGGCGTTGTCGGGCCGTTGAGGTTGACGGATTTGACAGCGAAGTCGTTGGAGACGCTGGCACCGGCTCCGAGGTTGTTGATCCGAGTTTGTAGCCTTGGCTGTGGTTGGATGTTTGGCTGGATGTTTGGCGGAATGTTTGGTTGTATGGACGATGCAGGGGAGAAAGTGTCTGCGTACATCGGGTTATCGATGCCAATCACGGCTGTAAAAGAGTGAGTGAGTTTAGTTTTACGCCGCTTTTAGCAATATTCCAGCAATATCACGGCGGGAAACGCCAGAAATGGGCTTCACATATTTTGCCCATGTGGGGAATCTGACCCGGGTCTTCGGCGTGACGAGCAAACGCTTTAACCACAAGGCTATGCCACCGCCCAGCTGACAAAGAACGGTGGGTGTGGTGATTGAAGGTTGTTTTATACGGGACTCAGAAGTACTCCCGTTTCATTTCATGAACATTGATTGTCCTAGGCCGTCCAGATACGATGCCATGCTATCAGCCCTGCGATCTTCAATAATACTGACTGACTGACTGAGTTTGGTTTTACGCCGCTTTTAGCAATATTCCAGCAACATCACGGCGGGGGACACCAGAAATGGGCATTACACATTGTACCCATGTATTCGAACCCGGGTCTATGGCGTGACGAGCCACCGCTTTAACCACTAGGCTACCCCACCGCCCCTCTTCAATAATAGGAGTCGAACACGAACCTTAGGCGTAACGAGCGAACGCTTTAACCACAAGACTACCCCACCGCCCGGCTGACAAAGAACGGTGGGTGTGGTGAAAGAATGTTGTTTTATACGGGACTCAGAAGTACTCCCGTTTAATTGTATGAACATTGACTGACCTGGGCCGTCCAGATACGATGGCTCTCTACAATAATAGGAGTCGAACACGAACCTTAGGCGCGACGAGCGAACGCTTTAACCACAAGTCTACGAAACATTTAGACCTTACTGAGACTAAAAGAATCAAACCATATTGATGACGTCACGCTTATGTAGCAGTGGATTCTGCTGTTTTTTGTTTGTTGTTTAACGCCGCACTCAGCAATATTCCAGCTTTATGGCGGCGGTCTGTAAAAAATCGATCCGGGACCAGACAATCCAGTGATCAACATCATGAGCATCGATCTACGAAATTAGGATATGATGACATGTGTCATCGAGCCTGACCACGCAACCCCGTTAGTGTTCTGTGCCTGAAGGCCAATTCTACAGATCGCATTTCTTACGCGACATTTGTTTGACAGTGTGAGTTTGGTTCTACGCCGCTTGAAGCATCATTTCAACAACTTCACGGCGTTGGACGCCAGATATTGGCTTCAGATATTATACTGGGAATGTTGGGAATCGAACCCGAGCCTTCGGCGTGACAAGCGAACGCTTAAACAATTGGCCTACTCCACCGCCCAATTTGTGAAATTATATATATGCAAATTTAAATGGAAAATATATATGCACCAAAACGTGATTAAAGTCTGAGAAAGTTCTAAAATCTGACGATTTACGATCAATTTTCCCGATATGCTAATGAGTGAGTGAGAGAATGAGTTTTCTAAGCAGAATCGATTGATATTTCTTCAGTTCGTGGTTGCCGCTTACGTCCGCTGTTGACTGTTGGACCGTTGTCGTAGATGGCAGTCATTGTGTCACGCTTCAACTTCCGCATCCTCCTCGTGAAGAACAACACCAGCAGAATGACCACGATGACCAGAGCAACAGCGACACCGATGATAGCCAACACAAGGGGGTTCATGCCAGCGTTGTCTGTAGGCGTCGACGTCGACGGCACAGGGGCCTTGACCTTGCCCTGTCCGTTGCCGTCACTGTTGGTGTCCTTGTTATCGTTGTTATTAAGAGGTGCTTCTTGGGGACCCGCTGAAAAATGCATGACATATCCAGATTGAAATGAGTGTCTGAGTGAGTTGAGTTTTACGCCACTTTTAGCAATATTCCAGCAATATTCCAGCAATATCACGACGGGAGACACTACAGTACTGTCGGAAATAGACAAAAACTGTTTTTAGGCTGTTACTCTGTATCCCTAAACTTTACACAATTGCAAATAGCATATGTTGAAACAACCCACATCGGCCTAACTGAGCGTTCAGCAGGATGTGTAATAGGATATCTAGAAAAGCATGTTTACTCGTAAACTCGGGCAAAACTTAGAAGAAATACGAATAGCTGCTCAAAACAATAGATCAGACTATAGATGGCAATTAGGTCGCTCCGCCAGGTATGACGACGGACCGTCGACTCACCTGGCATGAAATGCATGTGCTGCCTACAGGCACAAGGGGTCATCTCAAAGATATTTCATGCTTTTTCATGTGCGTTGTATATATCTCATCTATTGATTAACATCTTACGTGTCTTTCTTACAGAAAGTTTATGTTGAGATATGTAAAAGAGCATGATACCCATAGAAAAGCTTAAATTAGCCATCGTATTAAATGTCAAAAAATATATAGGTGACATGACCACCCGAAGATCTACAGGACTGGATATTCTATGTAAATTGTTATGACATGCCGTTTACTTCCCAAGATTAATTCCCCTAAAGGATTATCTCATCTTAGCGGATATCTCTATCCCCTAGCCCGACCCCCACCACATACTGCGACACCCGTCCTAGATTTGCTTTTGAGACGACCCCTCCTACCTGTTTCTTTTTATAGTGACAGTGAGACTCCAGGGTAGCTTCATCCTTAACAGTTTCAGTCTTAAAGTTATTATTTTTTACGTCAGCTATCGTTAATAATGAAGCTAATTCTAATTTCAAAATGGGCATTTAAAAAGTTTCCTTTGTTATACAATATCGTCGCACACTAATTTGCATAAATCCATGGTCTGTTCCAAATAAGTCGCTATCGACTTACAAAAAAACGTGCACTGTTCATTTCTGCACTAATATTGCCACTGAAATGGCAATACTATCAATCCCTGGCATGCTTAAGACACTTAAAATCTGCGTGAGTTATAATTTAACCGAAGTTCTTGTGCGGCATTCATTGTAGACGTTGTAAAAGAGTGTTGTATTTGTACAATATTGATTCTGTTAAGTGAGTTTGTGAGTGAGTTTAGTTTTACGGCGTTTTAGCAATAATTCAGCAATATCACGGCGGGCGACACCAGAAACAGTCTTCACGTATTGTACCCATGTGGGGAATAGAACCTGGGTCTTCAGCTTGACGAGCAAACGCTTTAACCATTAGGCTACCCCGCCGCCCAGATTCCGTTAAGTAGTAGGGCAGTAGTGTTCTGGTTACCATGAGATGGTTTGGGCATTTCGGAGCCTTCTGGAACATTCCAGAGTCGTCTGAACCAGAGATTTAGAGAAAGTTCTTGTAGCTTTTTCTTATGAACATAAGAGAGCATCTCATGTTACAAGAAGACCAGAAGATCACTTTTTACCCCTGTTGAGACGAAGTGAATAGTATCATTAATGTCGCCGTCGCTATGATTACTACTTTCATATTATACTGCCTTCCAATTTGGTGAGGTGAGGTGAAATGGGCCAGTGGGGTTTAACGTCGCACTTAGTAACATTTCGACGTGCATGTGTATGTATGTGTGGCTGCTTGTACTACCCCAGAGTTACCGCTACAAATTCTGAGCAGGGATTTTGGTTCGGAATCGAGAAATCACGATTTTTCAAGCTTTCGAAGACCCTAGCTCCCAAAGTTCTGCTTCGATTTTTAAGCTGTATGTCTTATTTTGTAGGTAACTATATTAGCTTGAAATGTGTGCATACTTTAAATGGGATAAATACAGTGAGCATTGTTGGATTCGTCTTGAAACGAACGTGGTGTGTTGACCTCGTTACATCCCTTTCCTTTTAATAAGTACCAAGACCCCGCCGGTGACAGTATATACCTTGATGGCAGTTTTGATCCTTTTATATAGTTCTAAGACCCCGTCAGTGACAGTATATACCTTGATGGCAGTTTTGATCCTTTTATATAGTTCTAAGACCCCGTCATTGACAGAATATACCTTGATGGCAGTTTTTATCCTTTTATATAGTTCTAAGACCCCGTCAGTGACAGTATATACCTTGATGGCAGTTTTTATCCTTTTATATAGCATTAAGACCCCGTCAGTGACAGTACATACCTTGATGGCAGTTTTTAGCGTTACAAACCCCTCTTGAACGAACCATTGACATTCCGGTTCAGGACAGACACTCTATGTGCTGTACCATACTGTCCATTAATGGCTCGGGTTATACGTATTTCTACTTAAATAAACAGCAAATGGTTAAATTAAAATAAACCTAATTTCCCTATATCCGTCAGTTCGTCATACGCCTGTTCTGTTCGCAATATATCTGTAATTAAACCAGTTACATGCAAAACTCACATAATCAGAGAAAATGCCAAACATCACAATATGATTGGTTACTCTCACCTGTACATCCTGTGAACCTATCACAGATTTGCCTAGCATTACAGGTGCAGTTGAGTTGGCAGTTGCGGCCATAATACCCATCGGTACAGGCTGAAACCGAACATATAACCGTCATTATATGCTGATAACAACACTATCAAATGATGTTTGTTTGTTTGTTGTGGTTCGTTGTTTAACACCGGACTCAGCAATATTGCAGCTATATGGCGGGGACTGTAAATATTCGAGTCTGGACCAGACAATCCAGTGATCAACATCATAAGCATCCATCTAAGCAATTAGGAAAGATGACTTTAATAAAACTTGCATATAACGCTCTGCTCGATAGTCCAATCAATCTCTAAGTCAAATTGTTTTTTTATACAGTGGCCCAAAATGGGAACTTCAAGATTTTCGACATAAAATGCGACATAATTTCAGTTAAATACCTCGACAATTAAAGAGGGAGGAGGAAGGAAGTAGTTTTTTCGCCTTGAACAGTATTCGGTAAAAACATGCTGGGTCAGCGTAATGCAACAACAAACCCGTGACGCAGGTTTTGTTTGTTTTTGTTGCTTAACGCCGCACCCAGCAATATTCCAGCTATATGGTGGTTGTCTGTAAATCATCGAGTCTGGACCAGACAATCCAGTGATCAACAACATGAGCAGCGATCTACGCAATTGGGATACGATGACATGTGTCAACCAAGACAGCGAGCCTGACCACTCGATAGCGTTAGTCGCCTATGGCCGACAAGTGAGTATGATTGCCGATGGTTTTGGAGAAAGTGCCTGCTTACTGTCGAGGAAATGATTTGTAGATGTTGCAATAAGTTTTTAGAACCGTGGAATGCCGCTGCCGGTCGAATCTAGCCCTACATAGGCGCTGTCAACGTGGCTGGAATTAATAAACGAATTTAAAAGGTGAGTTTTCGCTGTCTTGGGTGATCCATGATTTTGGCTTGGAATTGCGGAGGTAGCTGTTTTCGGTGAGTCGTGGCGTATAACTTTTGAAATAATAATCCGATTATGACTATTTATAGCTCATTTTGTAGGGAAACCATCTCGCTTTTACTCCATAGGCCTCCACGGGGCCTTAAAAATAGTTTACGTGGTGAAATCTAACTTTGACTGAGGAGGGGGTGGTTCCGTCGTTACATCCCTTTCCTTTTATATAGTACTAGGGTAGGGGGTCTATATACCTATATGTCTTTCTAATGCTGTTTCTAAGCGTGACACGCCCCTGTGAAACAAACAAATAGTGGCAATGGGTATCCTCTGCCGCCTTTGTAAATGCAAATCCTCAGTAATGATATTTATTTCCAGAATACTTCTTTATATGGTCCCTTACCTTGTCCGCAGTTCCGACCGGTAAAACCCGCCTTGCAGTCGCACCTGCCATCAGTGCTTCGGCACTCGGCTCCGTTCAAACAGTTACATCTAAAGGCACAGTTGTCGCCATACAGACCTGCGGAACATTCTGAAACAAACAAGTCGCTTGTATGGCGTGGTCGTTTCTGATCGCTGACAAAATTCATCGCACTGTGTCGATCCGGAAGTTATATAAACAGCTTCAGCATTTTGACACGTGAACGGGGTAGTGCTGAGCATTTATTTTGTTTTATTTGTGTACTTTTTGTGTGACGTAAGACACTCAAACCTTTGTAAAAAAAAGGTGAAAGTCGGAATTTTCGTTTCGTTTCATAAGATCGTTTTGATTGACATACTCACTGTTTTCGCAGGTTGAGCCGTTGTAACCTGGGTAACAGTCGCACGCGCCGTCAACGTGATTGCACGTACCAAAGCCGCACGGTTGACAGCGCCCTCTGCATTTTTCCCCATAAGTTCCGACCGGGCAGACTAGAAGACAAAACACAACGTGGTGACGATCAAACATCTTGCTACAAAATGACGGTTTGAATGAAGAATGCGAATTCACACGTAATTTCAAATACATTAAAAATAGCACGAATGCCTTTCCTCTGTGGCAACCAGAGACGCAACTGAAACCAATGCGTATCAGCAAATTCGTTCTACCGCGTGAGTGAGTGAGTATGGTTTTACGCCGCTTTTAGCAATATTCCAGAGATATCACGGCGGGGGACACAAGAAATGGACTTCACACATTGTACCCATGAGGGGAATCGAACCCGGGTCTTCAGCATGGCGAACGAACGCTTTAACCACTAGGCTACCCCACCGCCCCGAAAGTTAGTGAGGTTGCACAGTACTGGTTATCAGATGGTATGGTGGCAAACGTGTGAACGATAGCATGAGCAACAGGGTTGCAACCTATAACCACCTGATCATTATTCAGATATGTATGAATGTTTACGATCTAGTCTATTCCTTAATACACTGACCGCCTCCGTGGTGTAGTGGTTAGAGCGTCCTCCCGGAGAGCGGAAGCTCGCGGGTTCGATCCCCGACCGCATCATACCAAAAGACGTTAAAATATGGCACTTGTTGGTCCCTGCCTGGCGCTCGGCATTAATGGGTACAACAAGGACTGGTCGGCTCGGAGTCAGTATAATGTGTCTGAGTGGGGTATTCATGCTTCACTGCGGCATGGTATCTCAGTGAGCAAGCACCATAAAACCAGCTATAGTCTGGGCTAGTACAAGCAGCCGCACATACACACGCATGCACGTCGTCATATTAGCGAAATATTCTTAAGTACCACATTTCACCTCACCTCACCTTAAACTGACCAAGTGTGATTTCAATAATTAAATTCACTACCCACCTGAATCTGTTACAATATCAAACTGACCAACACTGACTTTGAACAGAAGCTGTACACACAAACTCACAACCGCAGCCTTCATGTTGATAATATTCGAAAATAAATGTGTTTTTTTTCGCATTAGTAGCTTCAAAGTGCAAGTCAGGTGGGCGGGACGGTGGTAGCTTGGCGACATGTTAGAGTCGCCGTAGGTAGACGAAGCAGCTCTGTTGGACATCACAGACAACGCGCAACACGAACTCTCCGGGGAACGGACCACTGGTGTGTGTATGTGGTTCAATCAGAGGGTCATATATAAATATATTTTATTTCCGCCTTGTGGCTTCAGTTTAGAAGTCACGTCATGTCATTCCCATATACCAGACAGACAGTATTTATTCAGTAAAGAATAATAATACAATCAGACTGACATTGTGTTTAGTGGATGCGCAAAACAACATTGCAGCTCTATGTCCTGGAGTTTATCAATTTCTGTACATGGTATAAGTATAGGCCAACATTGTATATGACAGCATCATTTTTTCTTTTTCAAAAGATTTACGACAGAGTAATGAGTAAGTGGTTCGTTAGTGAACTTTGTTATATATTTCTTTCTAAGTATATCACAGGTATTACAAATAAATAGTACATCATATTCATTTTCTATATAATGCTGGCGTCTGGCTTTACAAAGAGGACATAGCCTTTCGTTATATTCAATTCCATTATACCTGCCACATTCAACAGCCGTATTAAAATTGCTGCATCTAAACCTTGATATAGCAAGTCTTAAATGCACAGGGATATCACAACACAAATATCTTTCAACATTTAACAAAGTTTTGAACTCCTTGTAAAATATACATTTAGGAGATTCACTAATTGATGAGAACCAGGCTGTGTTAAGTTATCACCTAGCCTTAGCTTGAATAGATACACAAAATATTCCACATTTCCAATTTCTTGGCTTAGCCAAGCATAACCAAATCCATATTGATACAGGATGTGCCTAACTTTTATTACCAAGGGGCCCGTTTCAGAAAGCGATCGTAGCGCTACGACTGTCGTAAGTCTATGATAAAGTATGGGAGTTACGATCGCCTTATTGCTACGATCGCTTTGTGAAACGGGGTCCAGGTATTATAGCCTAAGCTATCTAAAGATCTTAACATCAAATAACATTGATGTGGGAGTCTATTTTGTGGCATATGTATAAGTCTACACCAGAATTTGATCACTTGTGACACGTACAAATGCTGTAATGGGAGTCTGCCACACTCTACAAGAACCATACCATTTAATGTAGTTTTTTTCACCCTTAAGTATTGTTTACAAAATTTAATTTGCACAGCCTCTATTATTTTGGAGTGACATGTTCCCCAGATTTCAGAGCCATAACAAAGAATAGGCAGAACCACTGAATCAAAGATATTAAGTAGATGAGTGCAAACAATGTTACCAATTTTCCTCTGGAAACCATTTAAAGACATCATAGCTTTAGAGGCCTGAGATGCAAGACATGTCTGTGCTTTACTCCAGGCAAGCTTGGGTGTGAAAACTAATCCTAAATACCTATAAATAGGAACCGTTTCAACATGGGAACCATTTTAGAACCATTTCTCATAATGACGAAAAGGTCCCCCATTTCTAAAGACAATAATTCCCCTATACCATCTAAATTTAATAAGTGGTTTTTTTGGTCGTTTTTAGCAATATTCTGGCAACAGCAAGGCGGATGGGGACCAGGACTTTGCTTCCCATATTGTACCCATGTGGGGAATCGAACCCGAGCCTTAGGTGAGACGAGCGAACGCTTTAACCACTAGGCTACTCCACCGCACCCAGTCCATAGAGACAAACATGGGGTACTGGGGCATCTTCTGACTGATCACCTAAGGAGTAATCATCATCATCATAATCACCATCATCATTATCGGCGACGTCAACATCATCATCATCATCATCATCATCACCGACGACAGCGCCGAAACACGTCATGATCACTACTTCCATGGTCTTCCACGTATCAGTCTATCGTTATCTTAATCATCATCGCCATTGTCATCATTACTATACTTGTCGTCATCGTCATCACTCACCTTCTTCACAACGGTAGCCCCTGTATCCTGGTTCACACGGACATTGTCCAGTGATTGGGTCACACGATCGCCTGGTCACCGTACAGCTGCACTGAGACACACAGTTAGGTCCATAGGTTCCACTTGGACAGACTGACCGGAACAACACGTAACATTATTATTATTATAGCATATTTATATAGCGCACATATCCAGGCAACTAGTGCCTGCTCAAGGCGCTGGTATATTTTCCCTCGATCATTGGATGTCAATCTCAGCGGCACATCTTATTATCAATCTCAACTCCCTGTGGAGTATACAACTCTTGCAGCCACTAGGCGCACCAAGTTATTGTGGCTTTCTCATCCGAACGAGGTACCCACTCACAGCTGGGTGGACTGGCACATAGTCACAGTACTTCGTCCACCAAGTTCACTGCACGTTGCTGTACCCGCAACTAGGCGTTTGCACGTATTCATGTGGCCACCATCTTGTCATATACCAACGGATTCGTGGGTTCTTTTAAGTGTACAGGGTTGTGTACTGTACACTACGGGCTGTGACAACACTGAAAGAGTCTGCACACAATGTTGACACCAAGGTTTTTACACCCCCTCACAGGTGGGCTCGATCCCGACACCTCAACCTTGCTGGATCAGTAGCCTGGCGCCTTAACCAGCTCGCCAACCATATATAAGATATATACTGAACAAAAAAAGAAACATCACACATGGGGAAATATTTGTTCAGTATATCTGGTTAAACTGAACAAAGCATAGTAGGTCATAGTGAAAAACATAAAACAATTGGTGTTGAGGCCAAATTCCTAAAAAGCGAATTTTCTGCTAGAAAGTTACACTATGGAATTATGCATATCTATCATATTCCTTATCTTAAATGATGTACTGTTTCAAAGAAATGTGATATTGGCAAGTTGGGTATTCGTATGTTGCAAGAAGAGTCATAGCAAATACAGTAAAAGTTTCAGGGTTGCAACAAGTCGAGTGCGATAATAGACAGGGGAATATATGCATTACACAACACTACCCTTGAAAAATTCTAACAAAAGGTTTCTTCTCTGTGGTTTTCACTTCTACTTGGTATGGTTATCAACAGAAAAAAGTCTACCAAAATCCCACTGTGCGAAAGGTGTTAAAATCGGTCATTTCTATAACATGGTATCAAGCAGCAGCTAACTACAAGCGATACAGATGAAGAACACGTTTTTAGGTGAGTAGTATCCACTGCTTGTTTACATTGGAGACAACAAAAAAAACAGCGAATAATACGAGTTGCAATCTTTCAGTAGTTGCAAGAAATGGTAACAGCTGGTGTAATCAAAGTATCAAATTTCAGGAATTTGCAACAAGTCGAGAGCGAAAATACAATATGTTTCAGTTTTTTAAAAGGGGTTGCAATCTTTCAGTGGTTGGAAGAAACGTTAACAGCTAACATAATGAGGTATCCGATCTTAGATTATTTCACAATTCGAGAGCAACTAATCGCGGACTATACGACCTGACACATTCTCAGTAAGGGTAGCATGTTTATTGTTTGTGTTTCTCATCACCCGACCGACACTTCTAATTCTATTGCCGACCCTACCCACCACCACCACCCAACCCACCCAAAAAAATGAATACAAAAATAAAAATAAAAAAATAAAAAATTGTTTTGTTCATTCCAACTCCGCCGATTCGAACCTAAATCGTACCGCCTCGTCACATAAAATGTTTATCTTTTAATCAGTCGCTACCACAAGTCCAAAGACACAAAAAAATTGTCATAAGAATTACAATGAATGAGAATCAAAATCATGTTCAGAATTGGTGTCTACGTGAAACACATAAATGCAAATGATGCCCTACATTAAAGTTGCAATCTTTCAGTTGTTGCCAGAAAGGGTTACAGCTAATTTAATCTCAGATTGCAGGATTTTGTAACAACTTGAGAGCGTTTGTACGTCCTGATTATTTTGAATCAATGTGCCAGTGTTATGTGTCGACAGAGCAAAATAATATGAACTTACTTTCTGAGCACGTTGTTCCCGTGTAACCCGCTGGGCAATCACAGTCGCCATTGGCTTTGCACGTGCCTCCGTTGATACATTGACATGCCTGGGTACAGCCTGGGCCCCATTTGTTCTCGGGGCACTGGGTATCGCACTTGACCCCTGGTCATTCACAAAGACATATACACAGTTATGAAGAAACTGATGTGTTGAAGATGAAAAGATAATCGTACGCAAACAATGAATCGGCTCAGGCATGCTGGGGGCAATATCAATACTATAAATGCTATTTTTTCTTTGTGCTTCGCCTGACACAGGTGACAAGGCATTATGGACCTTTCGTGACGTCATACCTTTGTACTTACGGGAATTTAATTTCGTGGAAGTAGAATTTCTGTAGCCAATTCCTCTGTTCTAAGGATACGCTATAGAAATTCCCTACAGATCGTTATATCCGTCAGTGCGAAATAAACGTGTTCGTAATAAGCGATGTTTGATGCTGAAGAGAACAATGTATTGGTTACATCAGTGTAAAGTACCCGTGAAGATCCGGGTTAGAATTGATCTTCAGCAACCCATGCTTGTTGTTAGAGGTGACTACTGGGATCGGGTGGTCAGGCTTGCTGACTTGGTTGACACATGTCATCGTATCCCAATTGCGTAGATAGATGTTCATGCTGTTCATCACTGGATTGTCTGTGCACACTCTTACAATATGTTCAGGTCGGTATGTTCTCACGGACATAATCTGTTTACCTGGTCATATTTTTACGAGCTCGATATGTCTCGGACAGGTGTACACGATAAAAAGTGTCATATTTGCAGTGACCACACAATGGCGAGTCGTTAATCACAGATCCTAATCTGATGATGGTGACCCGTGAAGATCCTGGGAAGAATAGGTCTTCAGCAACCCATGCTTGCAACAAAAGGCGACTATGCTTGTCGTAAGAGGCGACTAACGGGATCGGGTGGTCAGGCTCGCTGACTTGGTTGACACATGTCATCGGCTCCCAATTGCGCAGAACGATGCTCATGCTGTTGATCACTGGATTGTCTGGTCCAGACTCGATTATTTACAGACCGCCGCCATATAGCTGGAATATTGCTGAGTACGGCGTTAATCAACAAACAAACGTTGTTGTGAAGGTCTTAACACTGAAGGTCATTTTCCAATTTGCGTAGATCCATATTCATACTGTTTATCACTGGATTTTACAGAACACAGCCGTATACCTTGAATAGTACTGAGTTAAACAAACAAACACAAAAACAAATGTTTGTTTGAAGCCTGGTGTGAAGGTCACGCCTTACCTCTCCATCCGTCCTTACAGTCACATGAGCCAGTGATGGGGTCACACGACGCTGTGTTAACGAGATTGCAGCTACACGACTGGCGACATCCGAATCCATATGTACCGCTCTGTAAACATAATAATAATCATAACCATACGATAATCGGTAATTAAAGGTAGTTATAGATTGCTCATTCCAGATGCTGCTTACTCCCGAACTGAGTCTTAAAATTTACCATATATTTTCCACATGTCATAAATTGCAGTTATAGAATTTAGTGAGTGAGTGAGTGAGTATGGTTTTACGCCGCTTTTAGCAATATTCTAGCAATATCACGGCGGAAGGAAATGGGTGTCACACATTATGCACATGTGGGGATTCGAACCCGGGTCTTCGGCGTGACGAACAAACGCTTAAACAACTAGGCTACCCCACAGACCAAATATGATTTAGCATAAAGAACGGTCCATTGGGAGGATGGGGAGGCAAAGGTCTTCGGTGTTTAGAACTTGGCTGAATCCTTCGAGCACGGTTAGAGTGAGTGAGTGACTCAGTCAGTTTAGTTTTACGCCGCACTCAGCAATATTCAAGCTATATGGCGGCGGTTTTAAATAATCGAGTCTGGACCAGACAATCCAGTGATCAACAGCATGAGCATCGATCTGCGCAATTGGGAACCGATGACATGTGTCAACCAAGTCAGCGAGCCTGACCACCCGATCCCGTGAGTCGCTTTTCACGACAAGCATGGGTTGCTGAAGATCAATTCTAACCCGGTTCTTCACGGGTAGCACGGTTAGACTTGGATTCTAACACATAGTCATAGGATCCTGGTGGAGCTAAGAGACTGGACTCTGCAGAAAAGCACTCTTACAAACTAGGACTGAACTTGCTCACACTGTGCCTCGTGTATCTTCGTCACTAAATACTGTTTAATTTGACTTTGCATTGGATCTGTATACGCCCTATTTGTCTAAAGCAGCCCTGGCTTGTTGTGAGGGACAACCAACGGGATCTGGTTGACTGGCTCGTGAACTCATATCCCAATTGCGTAGATCGATGCTCATGATGTCACTCACTGGAATATTTACATTCTCTAGCTGGTATGTTGCTGAGTGTAAACAACGAACAAACCTGGCATTCAAGCTCACACTTGTTACCATGGTAACCACGTGAACAAATGCACGTGCCGTTGCTTGGGTTGCACTCAGCGCCGTTCTGGCACGTGCATGTTTGGCTGCAGTTTTCGCCGAACTTGTTAATCGGGCAACGATCTTGGCATATGATTCCTGTCCAACCTGCAAACAGTGACGATGGGTAAATTTGGTTCTAAACACGAATACGAAATACGTCAGCATAAATATAAAGAAGGCGAAATCATACAAATTAGTGGTTGATATTGTGAGCATTGATGAAGACTGGTAATATATTTTCATATTAACAGTTTATTACCAGGCAGGGAAATAACAAGTACCATATAAAGCGCCATTTGGTTTTACGTGAAAACCCCTGAAGCGCATTTGAATCTTTCTTGGGGTGGTCCGGACCGTACCATCTCATACTACTTGGCAAATAACTGTGTTACGAGTTTATTACCCTCGATCTTTTTAGGTGCCAAATTAATAATCACTTCGGTCCGTTTTATCCGTTTCTCTTATAGTTCTGCAGCGAAATGGGACGCAAAGCGTTTCGTCATTATTTTTTAGGCAGACAGACATCGGCGCATTCGTAACTACTCGTGTCATTTCGGCAAGCCGGGGGATCTTCTTGTAGGTCACGGAAAGAGGCGAGTAGTTACGAATGACATCAGCGAACGATATTCGAAGGGACATAACTCTTGTAGACTTACATACCACGTAACCTACGTGTTGCAAACAATACCACTGTTTAGGATATATCTTTATGTTCAATCTATTTCCACTTCATAGATAAAATGCACAGCACACTCTGAACACATTTTGCTAAAAAACGTGTCTTGATAATCAGAGTCGAATTCTCCAAATGCGCTGTATTTCTATGTCAAAGGTCGCAAACTGTCAAGGTCGAGTGAGTGAGTGAGTGAGTTTGGTTTTACGCCGCTTTTAGCAATATTACAGCAATATCACGGTGGGGGACACCAGAACTGTCAAGGTCGAAAATGGGTAAGATGGATTTATACTGCTCTGCAACTTCAGAGCACGGTGCATTGTCTATTAACCAACAATCTTCTAACTTATCTGTAGGGTAATATGATGTTATCTCACCTCTGGTACATATACACTGCCCGCTATGAGCGAGGCAGGTCTTAGCGTTGATACATGAGCACTGCAGTAGACAGTTGTAGCCCCACTTCCCTTCCTCACAGGGGATGTCACACCTGAAACAAAACACAAGTTATATACCTGGCACATGATGATAGTTTTTTTCTGGAATGTGGTTGATAGTGTGAGCATTGATAAGCTTTCGTATACTTGGACAATCTTCAGCGGACTGGCTTATGCAGTTTAAGATGGCGTTTCAGGACTAATGTATTTATAGTGCTTGTCCAATCAGTTATTTTAAATGTATAAAGTCCATATTAAGGTAACCGGTAACCCATGCTTGTCGTAAGAGGCGACTAACGGGATCGGGGTGGCCAGGCTTGCTGACTTGGTTGACACATGTCATCGGTTCCCAGTTGCGCAGATCGATGCTCATGCTGTTGATCACTGGATTGTCTGGTCCAGACTCGATTATTAACAAACCATGTAGCTGGAATATTGCTGAGTGCGGCGTAAAACTAAACTAACTCACTCATATTAAGGTGTGCGTGTGCGTGTGTAAGTGCATGCGCGCGCGCGCGTGTGTGTGTGTGTGTGTGAAGACTATTTGGCCTGTGCAGATTAAGATTAAGTATTTCAGTATTAAGATTAAGTATCAAGGTATCAGAAGGTGTCGGTGTGTCTATGCGTGTGGACTATTTAGGACTAATGTCCCATTTATAGTATTTACCCAATCAGTTATTTTAAATGAATAAAGACTATATCAAGGTGTGAGTAGTTACATGTGTGTATATGTGTGTGTATGTGTGTCATAGTCCTTGCCCAATGAGTTTTATTGTCGCAACTTGACACCCAACGCACACAATACACGGACTTCCACTGACGCGGTGAGGTAGCCCAATGGTTAAAGCGTTCGCTGGTCAGGCCGTGGACTTAGTTCGATTCCCCACATGGTCACAATATCTGAAACCTATTTCTGGTGTCCCCGCAATGATATTGTTGAGGTATTGTTAAAACGGAGATTAAACCATACTCAAAACCCAAATAATGTCAAGTTTTCAAATGATATTTGTTTGCTTGTTGTTTAACGCCGCACTCAGCAATATTCCAGCCATTTCGCGGTCTGTAAACAATCGATTCTGGACCAGACAATCCAGTGATCAACAGCATGAGCATCTATCTATGTAATAGGGATACTACGTCATATACTACCCATCAAAGACTCACTAGTGTAAATGCACACTTACTTCAGTCAACTGTATTGTAAAACAAATTCGTAACGTTAAAAGACTATTGTCATGAGTTCAATCAATGATGAAACACAGTGAAAAATGTCGAATTCTTAACAAATCTTTACACCAAAACACAGCTGTTCATGTGCACGATATTTCCGCATGCTTTTCAGAAATTGGATGCATGATCCTCGTGCAATTCATCTGTACAAGGTTTGCAGTTGGTTCCTCCAGGTTGGTGGAGAAATTCATCTTCGATGTAACCATATATATATATATGTATATTGGTTTTCAAACAATACCATCAGATACTTACCTTGAACCTTTAAATCCCGACGGACATTGACAAACACCGGTAACTCTGTCACAGCCAGCGTTGTTTGCGCATGCGCATCGTTGGGAGCATCGCTCGCCGTAGTACAAGAGGGGACATGGGTTGGTGCAGTTACTACCAGTCCACCCCGGCTTACAGTCGCATGTTCCAGTACTCGCATGACATTCGCGAGTATTCGCAGGTTCGCACGTGCAGACACCTTGACAAGACTGGCCGAAGCGATTGGAACTGCATGCTGAAAAAGCAACAACTTTTTAAAAAAAGACTTGTTATGGGGTTAGTGCTTAAGACGAGTATAAACACGACACCTTCAATCATCCGAAGAAGGGGCAAGGGGTTGTGTTATACAATAAACAAGAAGTTGTCATCCATATACTCGTCTTATATATTCACCAACTTGTAAATGCCTCTCAAGAATCTCGGGTTAGTGCTTGTCGATACATCGACAGGTTTTACCTAGTTGTTTCTTTTTTAAAAAGGGATGCTATAAGCTTAGAAGAGAATTGGGGTGGGATGTTGAAGATGGGCGTTGGTTGGTGTGATCGGGAGAGGGTGGGTGAAACCGGGCGTGGCTGGGCGAGGGTGAAGGAGGGAGGGGTATGCCTTGGACTAACTCATGACATGTAATGGGAACCATCCTTGTTTTGCAAACACTGAGAGAATAAGTTCTGGTCTACGTAAAATCAACATCATCAAACGTGAGGTGAAATTGGGTTTAACGTCGTGCTTGAGAATATTTCGCTCATATGACGACGTGCATGCGTGTGTATGTGTATGTGGGGCTGCTTGTATTAGCCCAGACTTAAACTGGTTTTATAGTGCTAGCCCACTGAGATACCATGCCACAGTGAAGCATGAATACCCCACTCAGACACATTATACTGACTCCAAGCCGACCAGTCCTTGTTGTACCCATTAATGCCGAGCGCCAGACAGGGACCAACAAGTACCATATTTTATCGTCTTTTGGTATGACGCGGTCGGGGATCGAACCCGCAACCTTCCGCTCTGGGCGGACGCTCTAACCACTACACCACGGAGGCGGTCTCATCAAACGTCTCTGGATTTATCGGTAGGAGGTATTTGAAAAGTTAAGATCAACCGAATAATAATGTTTTCTGGCAAATAAAAAAAAAATTAAATCTGTATTTACAAACACGAATATTATCAAGGTACTCTTTTGAATTCACCTCACACGAAATGTTCATTCAACACATGACAAAAATCAGACGAGGTGGTGTGGTTTTACGTCACATTTAGCAACATTCCATGGCCATATCACGGCGGGGGACACCAGAAATGGGCTTCACACATTGTACCCTTGTTGGGAATAAACACCGGGCGGACGAGCGGACGCTTCAACCACTAGGCTACCCCACAGCCCCTGGACACGTGACTTACCTCTCCTCTCACACCTTTCCCCGGTATAGCCTGGGGGGCAGATGCAGGCCCCCGTGAAGGGGGAGCACCCAGCGCCGTGGAGACAGTTGCAGACAGAGGAACAGTTGGCGCCGTAAAGTCCCGGCACACACTGGCTGTCACACCTGGGAATGTACAGAATATCACAGGTGAGGAATAATGACGTTATCGTCACGTTCAAGATTATGCACGCGTGTGTGCGTGCGCGCGTGTGTGTGCGGTTGTATAAGATTGTACTAATACAGGTTTTATAGTGCTAGAGCACTGAGATACTAAGCAGTACATATATTATATGGATACACCTGTCAGGTAAAGTATACAGATTCCATTTCGATATCCATCCATCCAGTCGATTTGAGTGAGTGAGAAAGTTTAGTTTTACGCCGCACTCAGCAATATTCCAGCTATATGGCGGTGGTCCCAGTCGATTTGAAAATGTGACACATTTGTGGAAGAGTTAGTGATTGAGTCACTGACCTAGCAATTCAACGCCACTTTTGTATCTCTGGGTCAACTAAAAGCCCCAAGTGAAGTATATGTCTAAACTTCATATACGTTTTGTTACTTAGTGTGCGAGTCTACTTTTACGCCGCTTTTAGCAATATTCCAGCAATATCACAGCGGGGGACACCAGAAATGGGCTTCACACATTGTACCCATGTGGAGAATCGAACCCGGGTCTTCTGCGTGACGGGCGAACGCTTTAACCACAAGGCTACCCCAAAGACCATTTTGTTAATGAGATGTTCATATCAATTTAAATAAATATATATTTTTATGAAATATATATATATATGTATATAATCTCTATATATTTGCTATAACCAACCCACCTTTGTCCCACATAGCCGTCCCCGCATTTACACGCACCGCTCACGCTGTCGCACGTGGCGTTGTTGTAGCAGTCACAGTGTCCGGCGCAGTCCGGTCCGTACTTCAGATGACCACAAGGAATGTTGCACTTGGTCCCCTAGGCAGACAATTACATACATAGTCCATCTCCCAACACAATGTCAAACCGTGCTTCTCTACTAAGAATAACCTTCCTGGTATTAGAAAGTATGCGGTTGAAAATTGGCTTTGACAAAAATAATTGCAAACGGTATAAAACAGTTTACAGGTTGAAAACAGTCCGCGAAAAGTTGCAAGATTTATGTCAAAACATAGCCGTGATACCCGTACGGGATACATTACCAACCAACAACCATTTTATATATGCTTTTTGTTAAACGCCATCAAGCGTGTGTATACTTTCTTTGGGGCGTCAGTTCAGTGATAGAAGAGACACGTGAAACCAAATCTGTGAAAGTGATCTATGAATAAACAAAATGATTTTGATGTCCGATTTGCTCAACTGACGCTGCTTTCAGCAAAGATTTTCTTTCAATTACGGAAAAAGAGTTCTGCCGCTTTTATTTACTTCAACGATTGTTTAATTTAAGATAAGGGGTATCTTTTTTATGATAAACAGACCATGACAAAATTCGCTGGGACAGATTTTACAGAACTAATGAACTAAAAATATTTGGTTTTCTCATGGCTTTGGGTATATCAGGATTAACCAATTTGTTGGTGATGAATTTTCTTTCGTACAATGAATTTTCTCAAAGTTGCCATTCCACTTTGAATAATACCTCCAGATATATGATGTATAGAGATTATATATTCATATTTGAACCAGAAAGATGCCTGTATATCATATTAGAAATTAAGGTGTGCTCTACTTACACCAAATTTAGATGCAATGTCTTGCCACTACGTTATAATGAAGGTAGGTGGCAATCAATCGAACCTGGTTTACGTTTCTGTCCCATTTGCATCACCTCTTTAGAGGATGAGTATCATTTCACTCTTATATGCCACTTGTACAATGATTTGAGAACAACTTTTCTTCCGGAATACTTTTGCAAGTTCCCTTCCATCCATAAATTTAACAGTCTATTATGTACATCACATGAGTGTCTAATCAAACCTGTACAGTATACATTTACCATGTCAGTATTCGAATACTGTCAGCACAGTTTATATACGTGGCTTGTATATCAGTTAGTAGTGCTGCAATGATGCATCGAACTATCAATGGGTTGCAGTTGTTCAGTCTTCGCTAGCAATTAATCGATGGTAGAAACGAAAAACTATCGATGCATCGATAGTATGTGCGACTATCGATAGTTTAGTAACTGACTTCCGTTGATAAATGCGCCGCGCAAAACACAGGATGTTTGGGTGCAGACTTGCAGCTTCATTGAGTTTATGTTTTAACTGTTTACTTGAAGTTTCTTGTCAGTTATTAAAAGAGACCGAAACTACTTCAACTTGTTTTTATTTCATATAAACTATACATTCATTTGGGAAATGACTTCTTATGAGAAAATTCAAGGAGAAAAAAAACTGGTACAATAGTTTGTGGCAATAGTTGTTCCCCCTCAATAGTCACCCCTATCAGCGTATCTGTATAAACGTTCACTATCGTCGCTTACCGTCCACCCAGCCGTACATTGACAACTGCCGTCGATGTTGCTGCAACTGGCTCCGTTCTGACAGTCGCACTCTTGTTGGCAGTCGTCGCCATGGGTACCAGGCGGACATGACAGGTGGCACCTGAAACAGGTATGTCCAATATGACTACCCAAATAGCACGTGTGTTTACCAGCAAATAGCGGACAAGAGTGCCCAATCTTCATCCGCGCGACAATTCGGTGTGTAGAGTTACGTCCCTTATGTGTGACTGAATCCTATGCCCGTCGTATTTGATTTCACGTTTCGCCCTGATTATGTTTTTCAGCACCATTCCCGTGTTCTTGTTTTTAGTGATGATTTTTCACTTTTTCCCCTATTTTTCATTTTATTATTTACTTATTAACTGGCAGCTAACTGTTAGCCAAATTTAGATGTAGTAACTTTGTGTTAGCTATCGAAACTGTAAGAAGATGGCTTGTAGCACGAGTTGGTCATGAAGATGCAATATGTCAACAGACAGTCATGTGACAGGATGTCCATATTTTTCCCCGACAGTTAATCTGAAAATGTCTAGTATTTACTGATTCAATGAAGAACATGCATTATCTGTGGTATGTACAAATGCGTTTAACCTACTACGTGATGCTTTCGCCAACAGGTGCGCTGTAAAACTACAGGTAAATCTTGAAATACCAGTATGTGCAGAATTTCTGCAAAGAATAAAATTGTGTCAACTCACAAGTTTCCGGTGAAGCCTGGCGGGCAGTGACACGCACCATTCACGTGATCACAGGTGGCGCCATTGTGACATGCGCAGTGCATTTGGCAGTTCCGCCCGTAGGTTCCCTGGGCGCACTTCGTCTGACAATGCTCCCCTACCCATCCTAATGAAAATATGCAAAAAATGCAAACTCTCTAAAACAATGTCTCCATTTTCACCCATCGTGTCATCAGAACATAATACTCACTGTCATTAAAAACGTAAAAATGTTACATGTTTTGTACAGTGCCTCGGTGGCTGAGTGGGTTCGATCGCTGACTCTGCATGCTGGTGAGTTGTCACCTCACCCTGAGAGTCAGGGTTCGAATCCATGATATGCCTCAGTACAAAAAGAACTAGAATTTGTTGGGTGTTTTCACTAAGAAAATGTAATCCGAAAATAGCATATGTTAAAACTGGAACGAACAGTTCGCATTGTCTATTTTCCCGGGGCTGACGTGAATTGAGTGTCTCTTTTTTGTACTTATGCCGAAGTCGAAAAATAATAAACGAAGCCTCGGGAATACCTGGTGCGCATGTGCAGATGCCTGTTCTAGGGTCGCACGTGCCTTGACCGCTACAGTCACACACCAAGTTGCAGTTCTCGCCCCAGCTTCCAACAGCACAATCTGGAATAGTCATAATAATAACAATAACAATGAAGTCTCTTCATTGTATTGATCTCACTGGGCGACATCTTCACTTTTTCATGTCTTTAATGAGTAGCTGATCGACTCAAACCGTGACAACACGACGACTCGACACATTTTGACCTTGAAAACTGTTATAGTATTTCCCCATTTTTAAAATAAAATATCTTTGAGTGAGTGAGTTTAGTTTTACGCCGCACTCAGCAATATTCCAGCTATATGGCGGCGGTCTGTATATAATCGAGTCTGGACCAGACAATCCAGTGATCAACAGCATGAGCATCGATTTGCGCAATGGGGAACCGATGACATGTGTCAACCAAGTCAGCGAGCCTGACCACCCGATCCCGTTAGTCGCCTCTTACGACAAGCATAGTCGCCTTGTGTGGCAGGCAAAATATCTTTGAAAGTGAGACAATACGACAAAAGGCAAAAATGTGGAATGGTCGTATTGTTGACATTTGGTTATTTTTTACACTGTTTCCTTTTGTGAAGTGGACAAAACAGCAATTTCGGAAACGGGAAGAATCGGGAAAGTAGTGAGGTGAAATTGGGTTTTACGTCCTACTTATTGAATATTTCGCTCATATGACGACGTGCATGCGTGTGTATGTGTGGCTGCTTGTACTAGCCCAGACTGAAGCTGGTTTTATAGTGCTAGCCCACTGAGATACCATGCCGCAATTAAGCACGAATGCCCCACTCAGACACATTATATCCGAGCCGACCAGTCCTTGTTGTACCCATTAATGCCGAGCGCCAGGCAGGGACCAACAAGTACCATATTTTAACGTCTTTTGGTATGACGCGGTCGGGGATCGAACCCGCGACCTTCCGCTCTAACCACTACACCACGAAGGCGGTCCCAGTAAAAGTAGAAAGAAACGGTGAAGTTGCAGCAAAGATCGAGTGTTAACCCAGCAGAAAATGGGTACCCGATGGGATAAGTCATATGTGTTAACCTTCTAGCGCCTCACATCCTCGGGTTAACCCGGGTAATGATATCCATTATGCGAGTTCAGCGTAATGTAAGTGGCCTTATTATTATTATTTGATAAACAGATGAGAGGTATTTGCAGCTTGGTCAGGAATAGTCGTTGATGAAAGCACCTACTTGAAGAACAGCTGGTTCCTCTCCATCCGGAATCGCAGTGGCAGATGTTGATGGCAATACAGCGTCCGTTGTCACAACCTTGTTGACAAACAGCTGAAAAAAAACATAATTTCAGAAGATGTGACTTCATAAAAATCATTTGGTCATTTTTTAGAATCAATATTATTGAATTAACCAGTTATCGTACTGATTTACAAAGAAAGAGTAGGTGAGTTGTGTTTTACATCGCCTGGACTATGTCTGTAAAACCTCTTTATATAGGTCTCTGATATGTACTACTTTGGTGAAACCCACAGGGTGCATTATCTTAAACGAATCTGGGATTCGAACGCATTATCATCTGCAAAGTGAGTGAGTTTAGTTTTAGTTTTTCAGATATATTCCAGCTATATTGGGACACCAGAAATTCATCTGCAACGCTACCACCTTGCTTTCCACTGTTAAGGCGCACATCAGCCCGTACTCGTGTCAATTTTGTTTGTTTTTTGTTTAACGCCACACTCGGGTAATTTTCCAGCGGTCTGTAAATATTCAGGTCTGGACTAGACAATCCAGTGATCAATATCATGAGCATCAATCTACGCAATTGGGATACGATGACATGCGTCAACAAGTCAGCGAGCCCGATCAGTCACCTCTTACGATAAGCACGGGTTACTGAAGATCAGTTCTAACCCGGATCTTCTTGGGTTTCTTGCCTATTTTCAACCCTTTACAAACATATTTTCCGATCGGTCAGTCAAAAGAAATCCAAGAACCTCTTAATATTAAAATAGTGTAGATCTGTAGAAAATAGTGTAGAACGAAACACAGCATATGTGAAATATCACATTTTTACGAAGACGGATTCTCTGGCCAGCTTTGAAATTAAGCCGTTTGGAGACACGTGATGAAAAGGTCGTGACGTCATGAAGAATAGAACCAAGGGAGACAAATCATGAAACTCACGAGCGCAGGAGTTGTCTTTCTCTTTGTAGCCTTTGCAACATACAGGAACGTTTCTGATTTTCTGCACAGACACGCGTTTGTACTTCACTGATATTTCCGTGCTGAAAGTAGACACATTTATACTTGACCTACTTTTTTCGCACAAAATTCAAAATACAATCTTAAAATATTCGACTAGTTCAATTTCATTCATAGAAATAGCAAACAGTCATGTGATTTTACATAGAAGTTATTAAATTTGCTTTGCGAGGAGACTATTAACAGTATCCAACCAATATTGACTCGGGATGCAGGGAGGATGGTAACACGCTGTACCAGTGTCGGGATTCGAACCCAGGGCACTGTCGCAGAAACAGCACTAACAGAATCCTAACTCTTCTATACTAGCATAAGTTATAAACATTAAGATGCATGTACGTCCAATCTCCCCCAACTTAGTTCCAATCAGTGCTATCGTTATTGATGGCGAGACACACCACACCAACAAAAATAAACATTGGAATGTATGCACGTTCAATCTCCCCCAACGTAGTTCCAATTGTTTTCTGATGGCGAGACACAACACACCAACAAAACTGAATCAAAGTTATTTTTAGAAACATAAAAAGGTTCGAATATAATAGCTTTTAACTGAATTTGATATGACAAGAAAATAATCGAAGTAACTTGAAAAAAACGATTTTTTCTTACTTGAAATAAACAGAAAATAACGGAAGAAAACTTGTAATTCCTATTTTTATAAATCCATGAAATAGCAAGAAAATGTTTGTAATTATGGGAAAATATCGATGGAAGGAAAAAAATCAAAATTTCGATAAATGATTTAATTAACGAGACAACCGAAAACAATGCATCGATTTTTTCATCGATTTATTAAAATAAACGTGAAATATCGAGGAATTAATCAAACTTTTGAAAATGTTATGGAAGAAACGAGAACGTATTAACAAATAATTTAAATAAGGATACATTCCGGTTTCAAAATGCAATTATGCAACCAATGTTTCACCATTAAGCCTGACCATGCATGTTCTGAGCAGTAAAGGCCGCTGCAGTAATACCTACTGGAACACACGATGCTGTGTGGGAAACACTTAACCAATGTTGAAGAAAGGAAATTCTGCTGTTACGCTTTGAAGACACGTGATATTTTCAAGCAATGCGCCACGTGTTACGGTCGATGACAATCTTTAACCGGGACCACTTACTGGCAGACTTCGCATCTGGGGAGGAAGGCGAAGCACCAGGTGTGGGTGCAGACACGGACGGGAACATCGCTCTTCTGGACCTCAATTGTGACGTAACTGTAAATAAAGTGAGGGAATGTTATTTTACGCCGCAAACTGTACCCTATTGGCATACACGTCGTGCCAAGACGGAAGAAAGAGTGAGGTGAGGTGAGGTGAGGTGAGGTGAGGTGAGGTGAGGTGAAATTGGGTTTAACGTCGTCCTTGAGAATATTTCGCTCATATGACGACGTGCATGCGTGAGTATGTGTATGTGCGGCTGCTTGTACTAGCCCCGACTGAAGTTGGTTTTATAGTACTAGCTCACTGAGATACCATGCCGCAGTGAAGCATGAATACCTCACTCAGACACATTATACTGACTCCGAGCCGACCAGTCCTTCTTGTACCCATTAATGCCGAGCGCCAGGCAGGGACCAACAAGTACCATATTTTAACGTCTTTTGGTATGACGCGGTCGGGGATCGAACCCGCGACCTTCCGCTCTCCGGGCGGACGCTCTAACCACTACATCACGGAGGCGGTAAAGAGTGAGTGAGCGAGCTATGAGTGGCTACTGACGTAAATTCAAACTCATTTATTTATTTTTTCTAGGCTAACACAATTATCCACTCATGAGCAAAAATGTAAAGTGAATGAGGGACAGTCTAATTTTGTAATGTTATTTAAGTTGCTTTCACCAACATTTAATGTCAATAACACAGGCATTTTACTCGCATTTTACACACGAGGAGAATTGTATCCAGATCTTGCGTGGCAAATAGGCGTTTTAACAACGCCAACGTTTAACTACCGAAAACCTTCTCGATCTTTGTAAAGAAGGTAAATCGAATGATTGAAATACACAACAACCTTGTTCAAGACTCACGAGTGAGGGTATGAATTAGCTGAAACGCCGTAAAATGTTTTCAAATGGCAATGTCAGCAATCTGAACATTGTGATGTTTAGTGCGAGGCAGAAACACCTTTAGGATCACAAAACCATGTCGCAGAATATATGAATACACGATGTTTTCCTGCTACATATATATATATTTAATAAAATACTATTCACACTTTGCTAAGGATCAAATCATGGATTCAACAGAAAATTTGTTGTGGAGTCAAATTGGTTTAAATATCTAAGCTAATTGTTAGCATGGATCCTAGGTTTCAGTATGTCACTGCATCTTGTGGATCCTATACCTGCTATTGACAGGTGTTGACTATTTGACAATGACTCGTTCCATGATTTAATCGCTGTGTATTGACAATTCAAGTTTCAGCTCTATTATCTAGCATGGATTTATCATCATTATGTAATTAACACTTCAAGTTTTCAGTTTCACTTATACTGTACTCTTAATTGTGTATTGTGATACGCAGTTATGATGTCATAGTGACAACGTCATAGTGTCAACTGTCAGTTCACCTGATGAAGGGACCTGGAATGGTCCCGAAACGTCGTGAGGGAAATAAAAAAGAAGTTTAATCCATAAAAATATCTTGGACATTATTTATACTGTTTTAAATGGATACTATTACAAATTATAAATCTACGTTCAAGTAAAGTTGTTAATTTTTGTGATCCTTATCAAAGTGTGAGCAGTATATGTAGTCTAAACCGACTGACTGACTGACTGACTGAGTTTGGTTTATTACGCCGCTTTTAGCAATATTCCAGCAACATCACGGCGGGGGACACCAGAAATCGGCTTCACACATTGTGCCCATGTGGGGATTCGAACCCGGGTCTTCGGCGTGACGAGCCAACGCTTTAACCATTAGGCTACCCCACCGCCCCCTAAACCGATATAATACAGGGGCGGTGGGCGTAGTAACACAAACGTTCGGCTAGAGCCACCTGATCAAAACTACGAGGATTTAACAGGGGCTCAGATGAGGGTTTGAAACGGATCATGTGCGACCGTCCAACACGAGCAAAGACTTGATAAATGTTTCAACAAAATCTTCACACTCAACCATGAAAACACACATAAAACTGATTGCTTACGGTTTGTGAGAAGCCCATCATAGGTTTGGGTTCGTGAGTGTTTTGAGTACATATATATTACTGTGTTTAAGCCAAGGATTTCACACAACGATATTTCTACAGGACAAACCTCTTTCTGGCATCCCGGCCACGCCACGCCTGTTAATAGACGATATCGTTTCCATGTGTAAACACACGCACACACTATTTTTTTCGTGAGCTTATTAATGGAAAATATGTATCATGTTGGGTGTCAAGGGTTAGATTATTACTTTGGTACACCGGATTTTCATATGTTTGGATCGCCCAGGATTGTGGTCATATTGACATATTTATACAGCAGTTTCAACAACGTTGCAAAGATATTCAGTTTCAAGATTGGCACTTTAAGATTGGTAATTCACACTTCCTGGGTGCATACCCTGAGTTGAAATCATTGTTAACTCCTGAGAAATGCTTATCCTCACTTGCTGACGAACACGATTTGAGAAGAATTCTATGTAAGTTTCGTTGTCTTTTACATAAGATAAATATTCCACAGTATCGGTTTGATAAAACTGCCGAGAGAATAATGTCAGTATGCAGTAAGTGCCAAATACATCAAATTGAGGATGAGTATCATTTTCTTCTTATCTGTCCCTATTATTCTGAAAGCCGCAAGAAGATTAGTCCACCCTACTATCATGTTAACCCATCAGGGCGGTGGGGTAACCTAGTGGTTAAAGCGTTGGCTCGTCACGCCGAAGACCCGACATGGTTCGAATCCCTGGTGTCCCCGGTACACTGTGTATTGCAAAAAGCCCATTTCTGGTGTCCCCCGCCGTGATGTTGCTGGAATATTGCTAAAAGCGGCGTAAAACCAAAACTGAGTCAGTCAGTTAACCCATCACGTGCTAAATATATATTATCAGTAACTGTTGTTGACATCAATTGACGAGGATCACATACTAGCTTTAAGTATCTACCTGAAACGAAACTTGCCAGTCTGAATATATCGACTCTACAGTACTCAATCCCGTTCTTCTACATTGTACACCGTAGTGCACCGTATTTCTGTATATTAAATGTACTTTAGGCCATGTGGCTGAATAACTTGTCACTGTCATTGTCACTGTCATATGTATCATGTGTTCTGTAATTTACACTCATGAACTTTCGTAAATTCATTGTGCGCTCGTGTGTTTATATCTGTACTGCCGGATATACTTCAAGTGAGTCATCCTATTTTGTATTCGGGGCATGTATTTCTATTTCTTTATAGACTTTCTACAGACAATCCCTCTGTTTCAGGTATATTCAGTAGAGTTTGATGTCTCAGCTATATTCCACAGCATGTCCCTCGTTGTTAACTTATTTTGCATTTGTGTGAGTGAGCGAATTTACGCCGTTTAGCAATATTCAAGCAATTTCACTATAGGGAACACCCGAAATGGGCTGCACACTTTGTACCTTTGTGGAGAATCGAACCTGGGCGTGACGACGAACGCCTATACCACTAGACTATCCCCGCCCCTAAATGAACTAGTAAGTATATGTTACTTATCAATGGAATCGAACTTGCAACCTGGGAAAGTTTACGTATTCAGAGGAGCTGATAAACCGCAATGGCTTCCAGAATCCCCTTTTCAAGATTTAATGCGATATATTATTATGTCTGTTTCCTTAGATTCCATCGTCTCATTCCGCAACCTTTGGGAACGTTCGTGACAAACTCGTATTGTTCCGGGACAGGCCGAATGGTGTCATCTTGTGGTTTTCGGTACGGGGAGAATGGTGACGAATGCAGCAAATCCACTATTCCGATTCGTCACTATTCGCCCCTTTCTGTAACCTCCAAGATCGGTATTTGGCTTGGTCTAGAATAACACGAGTGGGTCACGACTGCGGTTTGGAAGACAATCATTACATTCGTAGCCACCTCGTGTGATGCCGGGATATACGGAACGGGGCGAATGGTGCCGAATGCAAGCATTGTTGATAAATGTTGTTTAATATTTCTCGTTCGGTTCATGGAGAGATAAATCCATATCCCTCGAGTCTCGATGAAACAGAAAACACCCGGGGTCTTAACAATACCTCGATCTTCCCCCATGTTTATATTAACAATCAAACTTTCTGAAGTGTGTTTACACATCAGTTAACATTGTGTAAACTGGCCTTTAGATGACAAGGTCGCCGTGCCCACAGGCGTGCTATGACCAATGAAGCGTGTACAATGTCGGTATTATTCTCAGTTGGTGCACCGTACAGCATGCCATGTTATGTAAGTGTTTGTTGTATGTGAATAAAGAGTTGGAGAAGACCAGTGAAGCGTGTACAATGTCGGACTTACGTTTCAGGCCTCTCGCACACATTGGTTTCCCCAAGCCTGATGACAGCTGAAGCCCCGGTTACACACAGAAGACAAATCGCAAGCAACTGCATCTCATCAGATTTCTGAAAACACAAAGTACACAAAATTAAGATATGACATCAAAACTGTGTTGAACTTGATGCAGCTCATCACCTGTGCTCTATTCACTAAATCTAAATACATCGTTTATTAGGATGTAACGTCCTACGCCGGTAACAAACTGATGGATATAACGAACGCTTTTGTTGTATATGTTAGTCATGATGCGTACAACGAGATATTGATATATCGAACTGAAAGTAGTGCTGCTGCAAGTAGTATAACCGTGGTTTACTGTTTATAAAAGGTAAGTCCATTGTCCTGATAATTTGTCAATCCGGACGATTTCATTGGGAATGCCAAACTTAGGCGAGTTGATTAACGTCGTGACTATAATTACTGAGCTGTATAACGACATGTATTTGTGTAAATGTGGCTTCTTGTACTTGTCGAGAGCGCAAGTAGCGTTTAACATTGTTGCAATAACCAGACAGTATACTGGTGAGGCGACCACGTTCTTCTGATCTTGAAGGGGCGGTGGGGTAGCCTAGTGGTTAAAGCGTTGGCTCGTCACGACGAAGACCCGGGTTCGAATCCCCACATGGGTACAATGTGTGAAGCCCATTTCTGGTGTCCCCCGCCGTGATGTTGCTGGAATATTGCTAAAAGCGGCGTAAAACCAAACTCAGTCAGTCAGTCAGTGTGATCTTGAATGTCTTGTAACATTATGATGTAAACCTCTATTGCCGCAGAACGCGGCCGGAGAGTAAATCAAGTTGAGTCCAGTTGTGATGCACTAAAGACTTAAGTGTATATATCATCTATGTTCTTCACCTGGTTCAGAATGCTCTTCTATCAAGAGACAGTAAACATAAATTCAAGAAGATCCACGAGAAGCTTCTTAACCTCTGGACACAGTACCCAGACAAGGAACTCTCTACAAGGTCATTCCTGTCCAAGGCAACTACTTGCTAACGGCACTGAAGGACTTCGCCCGATCCAACACAACGAGAAAAGACTTTGGGTGAACGTGTTTGGGGTGAAACGACCCGTTACTCTTTTAACAAGGGTCGTCATTTGTCTCCCTCTTGGTATGACGCGGCCGGGAATCGAACCATCATCAGATTAGCATCTGTGATTAACGACCCGCCATTGGGTGGTCACTGCAAATATGACACTATTTATCGTGTACACCTGTCCGAGACATATCGAGCTCGTAAAAATATGACCAGGTAAACAGATTATGTCCGTGAGAACATACCGACCTGAACATATTGTAAGACGTTCATCTGCCTTTAAAAGCAGGCAGGATAGGGAACTCCGGCAGACAGTGGGCAGAGCTCGGACAGACCAGCAGAAGGCACGTCAGGTACGTTCATCTGCCTTTAAAAGCAGGCAGGATAGGGACCTCCGGCAGACAGCGGGAAGAGCGCGAACAGACCATTAGAAAGCACGTCAGGTACGTCCATCTGCCTTTAAAAGCAGGATGGGGAGCTCCGGCAGACAGCGGGAAGAGCGCGGACACTGAACACGTCTACGTCCATCTGCCTTTAAAAGCAGCTAGCTGACAGCAAGAGCGCGGACACACACGCAGGTACGTCCAGCCTGTCACTTCGCCGCCACCTGCTGCCCAAGTGTCAGCCTGACTTCGCCGCCTCCGTCGGACTGTAAACTGTGTGTAAATCTGTTCACACTGCCTCACACAGTTGTACTGCGAGAATAAAAACGCCCATTCTATGTACGCCATTACGCCTCGTATTGTTTCAAGACAGGAGCGCCGATGGCGTTACACACGACACAAATGAGATTATCATTTACCTTTTTCTTCTCACCCGAATAGATTCCAAACACTTTCATGCGGGTGGTGTAAAGAGCGAAATTATAGTCAGTGCCATCCAACTACGGCATAAACGGTATTCACTCAATCTCTCACTCAACTTGCCTCCAGACGATATCATTTTTTTCCTTTTTTATTCTCCTTTTTCGGTTTTGCTCTTTAAGTTTGAGTTATTGTCTGTGTTGCATGATTGATAGCTCTCACTATGGCGACATGTAAGATGTACAATGGTAGTAAGTCGTGGATGATCAATCATGGGGTGTAATCTATTTAATTGCATTACTGATGGGACGATTAACTGACATCCGCACAAAGACATTATTTTAAATAGTTATATGAGAGGTAGCGTAATAAAAAAACAACGTTTAAAAATACTGATTAATATCACCAGATATATGAGTGAGTGAGTGAGTTTAGTTTTACGCCGCACTCAGCAATATTCCAGCTATATGGTGGCGGTCTGTAAATATTCGAGTCTGGGCCAGACGATCAAGTGATCAAGAGCATGAGCATCGATCTGCGCAACTGGGAACCGATGACATGTGTCAACCCAGCCAGGGAGCCTGACCACCCGATCCCGTTAGTCGCCTCTTACGACAAGCATGGGTTACTGAAGATCAATTCTAACCCGGACCTTCAAGTGTACAGGTTCAGATGAAAAACAGGTAGTCTAAGTTATAATTAAACTCGCTCAGCTGCATGGAAAATGCCACCCCCTGTCTGAGAAAACGGTGTAAAAGAATTGTCGGTAATGATTGCCTTGGGAACTAGTTGTAAACCGTAAGAGAGCGTGTTGACGTTAACCAGTGGTTAATAACGTGAGCATAAATTTAGATTAACATATGTCCTAAAAATGTTAACTATTGTCGTGAAAATATAAAAACTAGACATACTATGCCTATTTGCATAATTATCCTGTATTTAGATCGGTTGGGCGGTTGCATGTGTTGTTATCAATGCCAACACACCGTCACTGCTATGTATAATATATCTTTTTGTCACTTTGAACAATATTCCACATATGGCATATCCCACCGGATACCCATTCACTGCTGGGTGAACAGCTGCAGATATTTACTTATGGAAATTGGAAACAGACAATTTATTTTGACAAATGAGAGACCATATGTGTGCTCCGTTGTTGGGCGGGACTGAAGTCCCAGAAACTCTCCAGACTATTCCAGCAATATCACGGCGGCGGACACCAGAAATTGGCTTCAAATATTGCACCTATGTGGAGAATCAAACATGGGGTTTGGTGTGACGGGCAAACGCTTGAACCACTTGGCTAACCCTGCGTTTCCAACTCCTCTTTGACAGTAGCAGTTTTAATCATGTGTGGAGTGCACGGAAAGGCTTATTTAGGCCTGTAGGTTCTGATTATAGAACAAACACGTTGAGAAAAGTCTGGTCACCTCCTATGCAAATTTTAGTGAAGCAATGACTAAATGCTAAGCGATCACTGCGCCGGAGTGTGAGAACTTTTGTTTCTTATGACATGTATATTTCGTTTCGGGATGTAGTACAAGCGTTTTTACATGAACCTCACCCTCCGCCCACGTTAAGAGCTGTAAACACGCCTAGGGGTGAGTGTCAAACTGCTCGCTCCTGGCAAGGCAGAATTTATCACTTGCCAAGCGGTTGGTGCGGTAGAGCATCTAAAAGACTTATGTACCCTCAACTGACGTCACGGGTCACATGAGTCACGAGTCACATGTTGTTCATGTTCCACATGTCTTCACAATATACGATGACACGAGAATATATGAAGCCTTTCACGGATGCAGAGGGAAGGTATGGAACACAGTAAGGGCCGTTCTCGCCATCTCGCAGGCTTGACCTTTGAAGCATACTCCTTACGTTTATGCCAAAGTATAAGAATGCGGGATCGTGGACATATTGTCAAATCTCGCGACGCCTTTATTCTATAAGCAGGCCTCTCTGTCTGTATCAAGAGCATCGCCTTTATCTCGTATTCACGTGGAGATATCCCTAAAATTATTCCATAAGTAGGCCTCTGTAGTGAGTGAGTTTAGTTTTACGCCACACTCAGCAATATTCCATCTGTATGGCGGCGGTCTGTAAATAATCGAGTGTGGACCAGACAAACCAGTGACTAACACCATGAGCATCGATCTGTGCAATTGGGAACCGATGACATGTGTCAACCAAGTCAGCGAGCCTGACCACCCGATCCCGTTAGTCGCCTCTTTCGACAAGCATAGTCGCCTTTTATGGCAAGTATGGGTTGCTGAAGACCTATTCTACCCCGGATCTTCACGGGTCATAGGCCTCTGTAGTTATCTCAAGAGCATCTTCTCGATCTCACATTCACTTGGAGATGTCCCTAACAGTATTCCATACGTAGGCATCTGTAGCTGTCTCAAGAACGTCCTCTTAGTCTCGCATTCACGTGGCGATGTCCCGGACATAATTCCATAAGTAGGCAGCTGAAGCTGTCTCAAGCATGTATGTGCGTGTGTGCGTGTGCGTGTGTGTGTATGTGTATCCCGAGAAGACCAAGTTCAACATTTCAACCTAAATGTTCACAATGCAGTCAGTGCACATGAGATAACAGCAGGTGTGCTATTATCAGCATGGTCATGTCACGTACGGGTCAGCTATCTGACATTGTAGTTCGAGAATGGCTGGTCCATCTCTGAAGAAAGGCTGGTGGACTGACCATACGTGTATCAACACTACAGGGGCGCGGCAGTCTGACACTGAGTTGGCTGGCTGTCAAAGTACAAAGCTTTTAAATGAGTAGCCTGGGGGAACGGCTTGGTAGGTTTGGATGGTCCCACGCCTGTCGTTGCGGCCTGATCAGCATGGCTTTTATGTCACTGTGAAGCAGCATGTCGTAAAGCGCTGTGGACCTCGGATGGACGTTTTAAAGACCTACAGAGATCTCAAACCAATGGTACCTCGGTAAAAGCTCTACATTTATCTTTGGATGAAAGGCAATGTGCTGTATGTAAGCTTCCCAATAGATAGGGAACTTTAAATTGTTGGGAAAGTAAGGCAGTTAAGTCTGAAGAAAGTCTCATGGTTGTGGACAGGTGACAGTCTGTTATTAAAAGGAATTACAGCTATCCAAAGAAAGGTAACAATCCCGGTAAAACAGCCGACATTTAAAACATAGTACGCCTATGGAAATCGCAGGAAGTTGAACATAGAATGTTCTACGAGACTATAACCGTCCTAGCC